GAGAGAGAGAGAGAGAGAGAGAGAGAGAGAGAGAGAGAGAGAGAGAGAGAGAGAGAGAGAGAGATTAATTGGAGGAGTGTACGATTCTAGGAAACCCCATCCCATTCCTAGAAGGGTGAACCTCCTCTTCCAAGTGGTTCTCTGTCAGCTCCCGGTCTTTTCAGGGCAAATCACTCCTTCCTCCTCACTGCCTCAGCACCTAAACTTGCCAGGCCTGTTCCAAGGAGTGCCTACATTAAAAAGTACTAGCTTGCAAGGCAGCCTTGGCCCGGAGTATGACTTGCCCGGGGACAGAGACCCAGTGATGCCTTTGTACCCCCACGGTCTCCCAGCCCAACACCTAGCAAGAGACACAAAAGAATCAGAAGAAAATGGAATCGAGGTCCTCTGGGACTCCAGGGTCTGGTTTAAAGGGTCCCTGTGTAGGTGGGAGAGAGACACCTGGGAGGGGTCCAGTTTCTGCCAGACTCAACCTCAAGGCTACTGAGATATTTTGGCAAAGAAATGTCTTCTGCCTCCCGTGGGAGAGGAATGTTAATAGCTTACACTTGGCATATTTCTTTGCACGTTTTCAAATTACTTCCACAGCTGCCATTAGTGACCTTTACAGAAAGCCGATGAGGCGGGCAGAGGAATCCGTCAATGGCCATTCCTCACAGGCTTCCATATTCAGCCAACAGGTGGGCACAGCACACATGTACTTCAGGACAGAGGGGCACCGGGAGAGAAAGGCCCTGCCCTCCCCTTCCTCAATCTCCAGAAGAAGAAATAAACAAGCAGGGCAGTTAGCTTCCTAATAGGTTAACAGTTTTACAAAGAGGTAGAGTCATGGGAGAAAACCCTGAGACTATGTACTCTGGACAGTCCTCTTTAGAGGCACCACATTCAGAATGAGCTGGGCCCAGGAAGGGCTATGGATGGAAACTGAGGCCCACAGAGGCTAAATGGCCTGACATCAAACCTCAAACCTCCAATTGTCACAGCAGAGACTTGGGGCCCATGGAAGGATATGGTAAGCATGGGCGCGCACACACACACACACACACACACACACACACACACACACACACACACACGAATACACACTTGTGCACACACAGACAACAGTCTGGAAACTCAAAGGCAAGCCTCCAGGCAGACAGAGCTCACAGCCAGAGTACTTTAAGGACAAATGCAGAAGAGGACTAGGCCCTGGCAGCCATGGCAGGTTTCGAAGGAGGCGGGCTGGGGAGGCAACTCTAAGGAGGCACCCGGCCCCTGCCAGGATTGTGTTTCCGACTTGCCTGCCTCTGTGAGCCATGCTTAGTTATTTTGTAAAGTGTGATGAGACCGTTCTAAGATTGAGGAGTCAGCAGGCAGTTTCATGAGAAGCAATCAAAAATAAATAAATTTTAAAAAAGGGGGCAATTAGTAGGAAGGTTTTGACAGAAGGAATGTGCACAATCCTGGCATAGCCTTCTTCAAACACCCATGTCCAAGCACTTTTTTTTTCTGCCTCAGAAATATGAATATTCATCTCATCCTCTAAATGCCTCTTTCCTAGAAATTCCTCTTGACCCACAGTGAAAGCAAACCCCATTCGACCCCACGCTGTCTAGGACTCCACAGACATCCTCACCTTAGGCTGCTCTGAAGACAGTCAGGGAATGGACTTGCATCACCCACCACTCACAGGTAACGGGGCTGCGTGTCTGGCTCATGGCACTCTTCCTCGCTGCATCTTAGCAAGCTGTATACTTTACGTACACTGGTCTCCTCCCCACTAAGAACAGACTGTGAAGTATCCCCATTTCACAGTTAAAGAAACCAAGGCCCTAGCTCCCTTCTAGGAAGGTCCTGAGGCCATTCAGTGACTGAGATTCAAATCCTAGTCCCTCTGACTCAGAATCAGCCATCTTAGCGTGATGGAGCGCTCTTCTGGCTTTAGCCTCCACAGACCAGGATTCCAGCGGTGGAGAGGAATGCTTCCATCAAGAAGGCGTCTTGGCCACCCCGGCAATGCACAGGACAAGGTGAAATGGTCCTGGGGATGCACAGGGGTGCAGGGTCGAGAAGCAAGCAGGAACATAAACAGTATTTATGTCCCCAACTTGTGCGCTGGACATCGAGTGACCATGATGGAAGCTAAGTCCTGCCAAGCAGGAGTCACTAAGATTCCTTGATTCCTTCCTGATTTCAGAGCCAGGCCTCTGAAACTGTAGCATCACTCCAGTAAACCACTAGGCTAGAGAGTCCTTCCTGGGAAAGCTTGGTGAAAGAGAAAGCCTTTCTGTAGCATTAACTTCACCAGGATATTGCCCCCCCTCCATGGGAAACATTGGTTTCTGGCCCCACCTGGCTTTTTTCATGTAAGTGCATACAGAAATAGATGATGGATTTGAAATCATGGAGCTTGACCTTGTGCCTTAACTGTGACACCCAGGGCAAGGCCCTATTCCTCCTGACCCATGTCTTCTCCCTGACCGTAGATGGTAGTCAGTTGGAGCATCTAGCTCTGGAATCCCATCATTTCGGGTCACCAAAGATGGTGTTTCCCTCTGATGCAAAAAGTTGGAAGTAGGGTGTCGGGGAGGTGAGAGGGAAAAACACAGGCAGACATGGCAGTCTGCAGAACCAGATGGGCAGAGACAGCTCAGAATAAGGGAAGCTACCTAGCCAGAGAGAGAAAGAACAGTCTGGCGGTGTGGAGGGAAAGCGAAAGCCCCTTGATGTAAGCAGGCTTGTGCCAGTATTGCTGGAAACAAACAGCGACAGATTGCTAACATGTTACAGTGAAAATTACCAACATGATGAGGCTTTTGCACCATAACCGGCACCTCTTGTTATCCCATTAACAAAACTGGAGAGACCAAATTGCTAATAGCAGAAAACGTTCATGTTGTATTATGTCACACCTCTCCTGCCCAGAGAACACAATCCAAGGAGAAGCCAGAAGGGCCCTAGAAATGCGCCCCCCCACACACACACACCCAGGACCAGTTTCCCTTGGATGGAACTGGGGAAAGCCCCAGCCTGCCCCCCACCTTCTCTGCCACATCAAGACACCTGCACAAAGCACCAGCACCAGCACATCAACTACCCAGGGACCTGCTCACACGGCTCAGCTGGACTGGGAAGAAATGTCAGTCATTCCACAGGACAGGAGCCAGGGATCTTCGCGAATAACACAGGGTGCCCTGAAAGAGCCCAGGGCACGGAGGGATGAGTGAGTAAGTCGACTGGACCATGGTGTTTCTGAACACACAGAGTGCTGGATTCCAGGTTTTTCCATCTGCTCCTAGAACAACCAAGGCAGGAGAGCGTGTGGTGTCTTCCATTTTTTTTTTTTTTTAACCACCCCATCTGGCTCCTGCCCACTATAGCTTAGTCAGAGAAAGCCCCAATCCTGATTCTACCAACCCGAGAGTCCAAACTGTCATGTGTGCCCAGGGAAGTGTCAGGAACAGGACACATCTGGTCCAGGCATTTCAGGAAGATCTTTCTTCCTTGGGCTGCGGATGGATTTCCTGCTCAATCAGCCAAGGCCCAGAGAGCAACATTAGGAGCTTATTCCCCTCGCTCAGGGAAACCCTCTGGTTGCCCAAAGCCCTTAATGTTCGCTCCGAGTTTTCCCCCTGGGGTAATCACTGCCTACCCCGATCCCCTGCTACCAGCCCAGAGACTGGGGCCAGCTGTGGGCCGTACGCCCTGCTAGTCACTCAGAAAAGCAATTGGCCAAAGATTGTACTGAGTAATTGAATGGTAAAGGCTTTTGTAGACCAAACAGGGGCTTGTCTTTGTAAAAAAAAAAAATAGAGAAGAGAAAAAAAAAAAAAAGAAGGGGAAAAAATTCTTTACAAAGTACCCAAGTGCTGCGTGTCAGACAGGACAAGTTTTTTAATCATGTTAAAATGATTTATTTAAACGTCAAGGCATGTCACCTCACTTCCTTTCATTTTTCAAACTGTTTGTGTTTTTTCTGGATGATAAATTTATCTTCAGACAGCCTCAATATGACTAATTAACTTTGAAATATAAGAACCAGATGTGTGAGTTGGAGAGCTTTCTGAACTAATGCCAGACGGGCTGGTGGGTTGGTTTTTTTTTTTTTTCCTCCCTCCTTCCCTGCCTTCCCTCCTCTCCTACCCCCACTCTTCCCCGCTGGCCTCCCTGAAATGACGAAACAGAGGCAGGGGCGCTGCGGAGATGGAGCTCAAGGCTCCAGCTCCCAGACTCCCCGATGCGGCTCTCCTGTCTTCCACTCCCAGAACCAACTGTCTCTGCTGACAGTGGCCAGGCTTGCCAGGCCCCGGCAGAGCTATCTTTGGAGGTGGGGCTTAGAAAATCCCCCTGCTTTAACCGTGGACCAAATGCAGACCAGGACACTCTGCCACACAAGAGCAAGCGGCCCTGCGCTGTGGCACCAACCAGTTTCTTTTCAAGAAAGTCATCTTCGTGTTCCCAGGATCTTTGCGCCTGCCCTCTTCCTGTTTGCGGGTGCTAGAGCAGGGGAGGGAAGAGCCTATGGGGGAGGGGACGTGGGGGTGAGCCTTTCAGTACTGCAGGCTGGAGCAAAGGCTGCTGGAGTTCTAAACCCATGTGTGTGTGTGTGTGTGTGTGTGTGTGTGTGTGTGTGTGTGTGTGTGTGTGTGTGTGTCAGGTATGCATGTATATGAGTGTAGATGTCTCTATGAGTCTGTGTCTGCATGCCTATGTGTGTGCCTGTGCAAGTGTCTGTGTTTATGCACATGCATGCACATGTGTGTTTCTCTATGTCTTCATATGTGTCACTGTGAGGGATAGGATCCGAACCCACACTGGACATTAGCACAAAAGAAAAATCACTTTCCCAGGACTCAAGTAGCTTAGCAACAGAGGCCAGAGTGAAAAATATTACGCTCCATGCCTCAGTTTCTCCTACCTAACTACTCCACGAGTCCCCCTAGATCTCTCCACCTACAGAAGTAGGTTGAGGTGACATGAGATCAGAAGCATGAAAGTGCATGAAACATCTGAGAGGCTGACACACACCTAAGGGATTATTAGGGTAATTCCCACAATTACTCCATCATCATGACCATAATCATTAGGCTGTCTCCTGATGTCTGAGAGTTTTCACCTGAGATAGTCTCACACAGTTGCCAGGTCAGTAGCATTGCTCACCCGGCCACACCCCACCAGAACCATAAACAGTGGACTTGATCCTTCTCCTGCCAGGGAGGATACAGAGCTGCTCTCTGGGTGCAGAGAGAGGAAACTCCCTGGCCCACACCTCACACGCTGCTGCTAGCAGAAAGTGTCTAGGTCACCAGTGCTATTGAAGGAGGTGAGAGGAAGTCTCTGCATGGAGGCTCCTTCCCTTCACTAGGGAGCACAGCCCTGCAAAGTCTGGGCACGGTCCCTTCTCGCCCGTCCTGTCTCTCCAAGAATAAGCTCTGCCCTGGGTTCTAGAGAAAGGAGGGGGGTATACTGTACAGAAGTGGTTCTCAGAACTCCAGTTCCAGCTCCCTGGAAGGGTCCTCTTCCCTGAGCCTTGATCTTGGCCTCTGCTCCATTTCGCTGGAGTGTCACCAAATCCCCAGGAAAGGAGTGTCACGACTCAAAGACGTATTTGCATTGTAGCAAGAGTTTCTGGAAACCTGTACAGAAAAGAGTCTTCAACAATTCAATGCCCCCCAAAAAATGAAATGGAGGAGGAGAAGAAGGGGCTGGGAGTGGAGAGAGGAAGCCTGAGGCTTCTCAAGTCGGAGAATGCTTCATCCCAACCCAACACCAAGACCACAAATTCTCGAGGTGATAGTTGGATCCCAACAGGTCCTCAGGTGGCTACTCCCCGCATCCCCTTCATGAGGCAGGCTGAGAAAGACCCAAAGACAGGGAGTCACAGTGCCTACATTGGCAACACTTGCCTTTCTTCCTGGGTCTTCTTTCTCCTGAAAGACAAACCTTATTAAGCTCCTCAAATGTCACAAGAGTGTAAGGGGTCGGGGGAGAGACGCTGTGTGAATACTGAGAACTAGGTAAATACCAGAGATGGATATGAAATGTGCCGTTCCACAGCCAGCTTCCGGGCCATCACTTCCTCCTCACTTAGCAGTACTGGCCTGCCCTCACCTGCCTTCTCAGAGGGCATCCTCCCAGTGACCGGACACCCATATCCGCCAGGACCTGTGAAGTCTGTCACAGACTAAAAGCCGCATGCAGCACCCCATGGCTTGGCTCTCTCTACCTCTCTCTCTCCCGACCCACACCAGGCAAGACATTCAGTTTGCTTTCTGACTATTAATAACATTTCCTGCCGTGTCAAACTAAGATAATTATGGAGCTTGCGGAATCACAGGATCCTTGACTAACGGAAGGCTGGGGAACGGTAGAGTCTAGGAAGTTTGGGAAGCACAGATTGGGAAAGGGAACTTTGGGTCTTCTTGGGTCCATGTGGGACTACCACCATCTCCTGTCACTGTGGGAAAGCCACACTTTGACCCAGGCCTACACCTGAGACCCAACATACCACCCTGCTGGCTTCTCCCCAATGGAACCAGAAGATTAAACCTACAGGCCAGAAGCTAGCCTTCTACTTCTGGCCAAAAGAGCCCACTGTGTGCACCTCTACAGTCCCCAGAACCACCCCAACATCCGATGAAACCAAAAGACCTGCTCCCCTACACAACCACACAACACTCCCCCACCCCCCTTCACCTTCTGCCACTAAGTGAACATAATAAGCAGCGACACTTGACACCATGAGCGACAGAAGCCATCGTTTGGGAACTGTCAGACTTGATGGCTCCGAGACCTGGATCCGAAGGCCCCATCCCCTCTGTACAGCTTGAGATATTTAATAAAGTAAAGCCCCCAGGATCAAGGGCTGCGGTCCTCTCCCGTGCCTCCACGGAGCCCGCTGGAGTTCTCTAAAGCCTGCCTCGCGTCTGTCTCTCTCCAGAAAGCCTTTCATGCCGCCTCGCCAGACTGACATCTTGACAAGTTGCCACGAGTGACATCTGATTTGTACAAATTTCAAGACTAATAAATCTACCTGTCAAAGCGGAAACTTTAAAAGGAGCTAAGCCCAGCGGGTATAGTTTAACAGAACTCAAGTTGATGAAAGTGTAGGATGGAGAAATTATATCTGTCACAATCCACCCACATTAGTTCTGCAGAAATGTTGGCAACTGAAACAAACGTCTTTCACGGGTGTTACCGGATAAAAAAAAAAATTAAAAATAAAAATAAAAAATTTAATCCCAAAAGAAGATTGTTAATACCCTGAGTAACAAGTAACAGTTCTATTTGTAAACTAACAAATTCTATTTATTTAATTTTTAATTCTGTTGCAGATGTTAGAAGTGGCTCTCCCTCCTACCTCCTTAGCTGTCTTGCTTGGAATCTGGACTTTCCACTCAAGCTGGGGCCATCAATCACAGGGTGGCTCCCAGCTGGCTGGCGGGGTGAACAGAGGCGTTAGCATCGAGCATGCAGGGTGAGGCAGGAGACACTACCCTCAGCTCTGAGTCCTAGGCAACCTGCTGGCACCCTGCTCCCTCTGGGCAGGCACAAAGGGCCCCGGATCACTTCCTCACAACCCCACCGCACCCCCATTTAACCCAGATCCCCAAGTCTAGCCCCCATTCTGCATACTGCAGTGGGATTTCTGTCTGCAGCTTGTGGGTGTTTATGGGGGAAGTGTAGGGAGTGGGGGGTGCAGATCCACAATCCTGACTTTTTTATTTTCTGTAGGAGAGTCCACTTTTTGTCCTGCATCACCCAGCCAGAGATGTTGTGTGGCAGAACCTTCAGGTCAGCGAAGAGAGTGAGTGGAGGACAAGGGCCTTCTTGAGATTCAATTACATTTAGGACACTTGCAGGAGAAAGTCTGAATCAAACCCCTTTGAATCATGCGGCTTTGCCCTGTGCTCCGCCGCCACCTTCCAGAGGTGCCTGCTACTGCCCTACGGGGTAAGCTGCCCTTTGATTCAGCCTCAACAAGCCATACCATCTAAACGATCGCTATGACCTCTGCTTCCTTTTCCAGAGTTTAAACGTTATCTGGTGTGCCCTCTTCCTTTTGCAGGTAAGAAACAAACAGGCAGGGACAGACAGACACGCTATTCCCTCTCAAGGTTAGGTAGAGACAAGGAGCCCTGAAGTCACCCATTACATCCACCATGGACCCCAGAGCTTGGGGGGAATGAAGCCCCACTAAGATAGCTCATAGGTACTTTTCCCCCTCCTGTTCTAGAATTTCTGCTTGATTTCCATGTGGCTGGGACCGTATCAATCTCTCAAGCCTTCTTTTTCATTTTGGGGCACGCCTTAGGAGCTCAACACGGCATAATAAGAAGAATTCTGGTGATGTGGACAAAGATTGGACTAACAAGGAGCTCGTATAACAATGAGGAGCCAGCACGGAGACCTAGAGCAACCATCTTTTAGATTAAGGACGTGGTGCCAATCTTTCCAAAGCAACCGGGGGCTGCCACAGGCTCTGCCCAATTCAACGTTTTCCTGTCAATTAAATATTTGTGAAGCAGATTCCACGTCCATGACACTCCACTCGGCACTGTGTGAATTATGGAGACGTACAAGCATGATCTTGTCCTAAGAGAGTTTACAGTCCATATGGGGTGTGGAAACAGACATAAACAACATACCACAGAACAGCCTAGAGCCTGATGGAGAACAGAGTTCAAGGATGGAAAGAAAGCCGAGGGCATGAGGGGACACCAGACTTTGCCTCATCAACTGGCTGTGGAGTCCCACAAAGAGTGGTCCTTGGATGAATGACATGGTTGACTCCGTATTTTCTGTGAGTTTTTTTACAAGAGGCGCTGGGCCTCGTTTATGCTCGAAGGATCTGAATACAGAGTTATGCAACTGCCCGCTGTCGTCCTGGGCTCTGTGGGTTGGGCTACCCAGGCCTGTCTTCACTGGGGGATCAAGTTATGAGCCAGCACCAAACAACAGATGAAGGGGTAAATGAATAAACAAAAGCAGCCTGGGTCTCCAGAGAGGACAGGAACTCAACTGTACTGTGCCCTGGTGTGGCCTGTACCACCTACAGTCTACACTGCAGCCCCCAGACCCCCATCACCATGCAGAAGCCCAGAACCACCACCCGATCACCGAAAGCAGGCAAGGACAGCAAGCAGCTGCCTGAAGAGGAGAGAAAAGCAAAAAAAAAAGGGGACTCACAGCAAAACACCAATATTGCTCTGCCAGACGGGATTCCGGTAAAGCCACAAAGGAGGATAGCGTGTCTTGGAAATGGAGGGCCCTAGAAGAAGGAGACCAAAAATGCTGTGGTGGGACCCCAGGTCTCTGAGCCACTGCTTCCCAGCCAGACTCACCACTCGGGGGTGTGAGGTACTTCTGCTTACACACGGAAGTGATCCCTGAGCCCACACTTCCCTCTGAGCCTTGCCTGGGCCCGCCTTGGATGGTTAACCAGGTGCCTCCGCTTGACAGCCAGGGTCTGAGAGCTTGGCAAAGGTGTCAACCTTTATGGATAAGTGTTTAGGAATAAAGGGACAACTAGAGTGAAATTCATCAAGTGGACCGTGTATTGGACACGAAGAATCCGGTGTTCCTAAAACAGAGATCCAGTGTCCAGCCTGGATTACCAAAAGCACAGTCCCCAACGCATTTGATTTCATATATGTGGATCGAGTCAGCGTAGCTCTTGAGAGGGCAGGGTTAGCACGCTAGGTCACAGGAAAGGCTTGGTATCTGATGTGCAATCGCACCGTCAGCCGGCAGATTTAGAAACCGCTGGATTTGGTTTTCCTTTGAGACAGTTGCTTCTTATTTATTTTCCCTTGGCAAGACAGCCCCTCTAGGGAAAGCCTTGGTTATGCCAAATGTGAATAATTTAAAAAAAAAAAATTGTTTAAAGGTCTCCCGGCCCCTCCCCCACAAAAACTAAGCACTTTGAATTGGTGTTTGTTCACCTTGAAAGTTCCTTACCTAGAACATTGGAAACGACTTCCCTTTCAAAAGGAGCTTCCGCTGGATTGGCAGAAATGAGTCAAGTCTTGGGAGAGACAGAGGCACCACCTGAGACCTGGGTAACAGCCCAAAGCCGGCCTAGAGGGCTGAGACCGCGATGGGAGCTCCAGGCTCCAGGGGCCCTCGCTCACATGGAGAGGCTGCTTCGCCCCTGGACAGTCCTTCTCCATGCAATTCCATAGCCCATTGCCTCCTGTCTGGGGCCCATTACCCACACGGCAGGAGAACTTCAGCTTGAAAGAATGGAGGCCCAGATCTTTCTACTGCCTCCAGGCAGCATTTTGGGTTTTGCAACCAAAGAGAAAAGAAAAAGAAAAAGGGAAGGAAAAAAAAAAAAAAAGCTTGAACTGTTTTTCAAATGTTCTGGGTCTTGGCAAACCCCAAAATGCCTTTTGCCAACTGCTTTTTCCCTTAATTTTTAAACCTCGGGTGTATTTCCAGAACAGTCCAATCCATCTGCTTCTGATTCATTTACACTTAACTCATTAGGAGGCTGTTGCGTAAGAAGCAGTTTGACGTCCCCAAGATCCCGGGTGAGGGATTCTTCTCCCCCTTTGGGTCCCACAGGGGCGTCTTGCCAGCAGAGCATGGCGCACAGGCCCCCGAAACTAGAAAGCCTGCTTAGCACTCCAGTTCTCCAGGAGGAGAACGGGCCCCCTTGATGTCCGCACCCATCATTCATCCTGCTCCCTCTGCCCATCACATCATTATCACTGTTTTGCTGTTATTGTCATTAAGGACATAATGGACGGCCACACATTAGTGTTAAAGGCTGTGTGCACTTCACTGTCTGCTATTCTTCATTCCTGCCTCCACATTCATCTGGCAAGGCACTCAACCAACACTCCCAGCCCACCACAAACTCCTAGCAGGGCCTGAGGGACATCGTGTGCATCACTTACCTTTAAACACCAATGCTCACCCCCCCGCCCCGCGCGCCCCCATTTGCCTTCTACTAGGAGATCTAGGAGGGTGGGAGAGGGCAGTTCCCAGGCACAAAAGCAGGACTGGGCTGCTGCTGACCCAGACAGAAACACCGAAGACGAACCCAGATTTCCAGAGCATGAATGATGGCCCTCCACAGTGCCACTTCCTTCCTGAAAGGAGATCTTTTCTTCCATCTTCCATTACTTCCTTACCATAATTGTTCAACCCCATATTGATTTTTTTTTTAATATAAAAATATATCGACTAGCTGGGTGGTGGTGGCGGCGGCGGCGGCGGCGGCGGCGGCGGCGGCACACGCCTTTAATCCCAGCACTCGGGAGGCAGAGCCAGGTAGTTCTCTGTGAGTTTGAGGTCAGCCTGGTCTACAGAGCCAGATCCAGGACAGGCACCAAAACTACACAGAGAAACCCTGTCTCGGGGGGAAAAAAAAATGTGTTGACTAACTACCGTATGTTCAACAGGGCCCTTCACAGGAACCAAGGGGACCAAAGGTAGAGGAAGTGGCTTTCTCCAGAAGATTTGCAACCATCTAGAGACACTTTTTTTTTCCTTGGGGACCTGTCATTGGCCCAAAAAGCAAGGCCCTGGAAAGTGTAAGCGCTGCCCACCAGGGAGAGAGCTCAGGACAGTGGTGGGACTAGGCTAGTTTCAGAAAGCCCGGCTGAAAGCACCTAGCTAGACGGCAAGGAGAAGGCGACATGGTCCTGGATGATGGTGTGAGGGCGAACGAGGCCTCAGTGGCAGAAGGCACAGGCAGCTCGTAGGGCAAAGGCCACCGGCTGTGCAGAGGACCAAGCCGATCGATCGAGGGAAGCGGGTGGTAGGTGATTCGGCTCAAAGGCTAGCCTCCCCCTCAGAACGCAGGTGAGTTACGTGTTTTGAGGGAGGAAGTAAGATGGGGAGGGCGGTGCTTGCGGGGGGGGGGGGGGACGACAAATTTGTTGTGCAGGTCCAGGGTGGCTGGATGTGATGACAGGCAGAAGGCAAGACACCAGTAAGGAGTCTGCCGTCATGGCCCAGGCATGTCATGACAGCAATCTCCGAGGGGGTGGTGACAGAAAAGAAGGGGAGAGATGAATGCAGCAACTGGGATGCATGACTCAGGGCCCCCGAGGAAGGGGCGGGGGTGGGGGTGGGGGGGAGCAGAGACGACACAGAAGCCAAGGAGTGTGTCAACTGAGGGCAGAACACTGGCAGCCACGGACGGACGGCATTTATGTGACAGATGGTAAACAGAGCCGTCGTCAAAGTCCGTACACGAATCATCTCTGTCCTTTCCAGTGAGGCAAGACAGGTGCTCTCCCTGCTGGGGGCCCGGTGTTGGAAGGAGAGGCGTCCGCCCAGGCCCCCAAGACCATGTTCCCAGCACCAAGATTTATTTGGGCCAGAGGGGACAGAGGGACAAAGCAGGAGACAGAGGACAAGGGAGAAGGGGAAGGGAACAGGGGAGAGGGAAGGAGACATCTGTCCTAATGGGACAAACGATTGCCTCTGGATCAGACGTGGTCCATAGGAAAATGGCTGGCGGTTTATAAAGGTAGAGGGGAAACCCTGTGTTAGGAATGAGGTGTTCAATTTTGATTGGGGAATGTTAATTAGGGCAGCCACATAGGGACTTTTGATTGCTGGACTTCAATACTTTGATAGCTGGACCTTGGTAGTCAGCCTCGGGAGGAGGAAGTGGCCAAACAAGAGAATAGACCATGGGGTCCAGCTTTAGGAGTTTAAGCCAGTGGTTTTTAGCCAGGCAGAGGGAATGGGGGAGAAGGGTAAGACCTGCCGGAGCCGTGTTTGCCAGGCCTGGCTGGGCTAGAGTCCCTTCAAGCACCCCTTCCAAAACTCCTGGGAAATTTAACTGCTACTATAACAGCTAAAAGAAGTAAGACTCCTAAAAGTCACGAGCAGATCAAGGCCTTTATCACAGGAATGGGTTCCATGCTTTTGAAGTAATATTTCTCTAACATACACAAGACCTGGGTCCGAGGCCCAGCACCAAGAAGAAAAACATAAATATATATATATATATATATGGAGCTGGAGAGATGGCTCAGTGGTTAAGAACTCTTTCTGCTCTTCCAGAGGACCCGGGTTCGGTTCCCAGCACCGATGCAGGGCAGCTCACGATCTGCCTGGAAGTCTCACTTCTTCTGTTCTCCACAGGCACCTGTACAAGTGCTGCACGCACACACACACACACACACACTATATTAAAAATAAAATCTTTATAAATAGTAAAATAAGAAATTATCCATGTTAAAATGCTGGGCATGGTAGTGTGCATCTGTAATCTCAGAACTGGAAGGCTGAGGTAGAGGATCTCAGAGTTCATAGCCAAATAAATAAAACAGAGTTTGGCCTGATTTCTCCCTCTGTCTTGCCCACAGTTGTATTTCTGCCTTTGACCCTGAGATGAGCCTCATATTTGCCACCGACATGCCCCTGGACTTCCCAGCTTTAACAGTGAGAGACAAATGGCCTTCTATTGTATATAAATTATTCAGCCCTGGGCGTTCTGTTATAGTAGCAGGAGGGAAAAAATCCTAAAACAATAAGCTCTGCTTTACTATTGAAGAATGGGGACTTAGATGGGTTTGTTCATTTGCCCCCCAAGCCCCGAAAAAGAATATTTATACAGAGAATGGATGGGGACTCTAGCAGATAGGGGTATGTATCCTCTGCCTTCCTTCCCACTCATTCCCTAAGCTGCATCCTGCTGTTCTCTGACCTCCTCCCTGATCCTCGCATGCCTTACACTCACTCACATAATTTAATCTGTCCTGAAATATCTGCAGCATCCTTCATCTGCCTAAATCCAAACCAAGTCTTAGCTCCCTCAGAAACCCCTGCACACCTTCTCCTCCTCCTGACCCTCCGAGAGTCACTGTGGTCTCTGCAAACACATGCATCTGATTTCATACTGCTGCCTGTGGTGGTTCCCAGCTCAGGATTTCCTGACAGAGAGGTGGAGGGTGGCTGCCGAGGCCAGGGCGCAGCCTTGCCGCGGAGGTAGTTACACGGCCTTGGGCAAGTTACTCAAGCTCTTTAAGTCTGTTTCCTTAGTCTGTCAGTTGGAAATAAAAGGGTTATTGTGGAGATTGGATGAGAGCATGCCTGGCACATGAAAGGCACTCTATGAACATGCCCATCAATATAATGACAGCTCTTGTCAGCAGCGGCCCTGCGATGGGAGGCGCAAGTTCAAAGTTTTGGCCATAGCGGATGCTTTAGGAATGTTGTTCCACTCAGTTCTGGATGATCTCAATGACAATGGACAACCTTTCAGTACTGACAGTCTTTAAAGTGTTACATTTATTTGATTGCATTTAAGCAAATGGGCCGGGTGAGAGGATTCCACTCCAGCATGCTTCAGACAGGACATCTCCAAGACCAAGTCAGGAACTCAGAGGTCAGCCTGGCATCCACAACACCAAGGAAATCATGCTCAGCCTCCCCTAGGAGAGGGTGCCTTCTGCTCACCCCTCTGCGGCTTCAGAGGTTCCATCTTGCTGACAGCTCCCTGTCCTGTCAGCACTGGCACCCTTCCCAAAGCTCTGTCCTTTCTCCTACCAGCCCCAGCCTAGGCAGCTCCAGGAGAGACAGTGTGGAGAGAGGAGGAGAAACAGGTGGGACCCATTGTTGGGAGTCTATTCTAGGCTGGGCTGGGGCTCAGCCACGGAGCACTTGACTCACGTAAGGAAGGCCCTGGATTGAATCCCCAGAACTGGAGATCATATTAATAGAAATGAATAAGACTAGGAAATTAGACGGACACATTTCTTTTTGGTGCCTCATCCCTGGCCCCGCTCAGTCCCACCAATTCCTCCATGCATTTGTATGCTGCTACCTGGAAGCCGATACACAGATTCCCTTGGGAGCTCAGAGCACGTCCCCAGCATAAGACTTCCAGCCATCTCTCTATTCCTACAACCCTATCCAACCTAACTCCTTTCAGTCATCGTAGGGTCAGTTGAAAATGAGGCCTGGGACTTTATACTTCAAAGAGAGGAAGAGCCTTAAGCATCCCTCCTCTGAAAATAAAATAAAATAAAAATTGCGAGTTGGATAAGATGGGATGATGAAGACTGTCTTAGTTAGGGTCTCTATTACTGTGAAGAGAGACCATGGCCATGGTAATTCTTACAAAGGAAAACATTTAATTGGGACTGGCTTACAGTTTCAGGGGTTTAGTCCATTATCATCATGGTAGAAAGCATGGCGGCGTGTGGGCAGACATGATGCTGGAGAAGGAGCTGAGAGTTCTCCATCTTGATCTGCAGGCAACAAGAAGTGAACTGTCACACTGGGTGTGGCTTGAGCATATATGAGATCTCAAAGCCCGCCCCTACAGTGACACACTTCCTCCAGTAAGGCCACAGTTCTTAATAGTGCCACTGCCTGTGGGCCAAGCACTCAAACACAAGAGTCTATGGGGGTCATCCCTAGACAAACCACCACAGTGACCTTTCACAGAGAGAAAGGCTGGTATTCTAACGACTGACATCAAAATCCAGCTTCCATTCTCGGTTCTGTTCTCTTCACATGTCCATATGTCAGCAACATGAAAGAAGAGGCTTCTTCAGGGGCCAGTCATAAAGATGGAAACCCAAAAGGCCTCTAGAAGTGAAGGGCTGGACAAGCATCAGGGAATCTGTAAGGAATCTATTCAGGGGCCTGCGTCAAGCACAGACAGAAGCTGCCCAGCTTTACTCTGGCCCTTCCTGCGGTTGGCAGAGTGCATCTGGCCCTTGGGAGCGAGTCCCATGCTTAGCTGGGAGCGGGTAATGCTTTCCTGTGCCTGGGAGGTAGATGAGGAAAGCCGAAGAGTGGGCAGCACTATCTCCCCAGGGCCATTGGATCAGGAGAAGGGAGAGCACTTGGAGAGGAGTCCTGGGGCCATCTGTCCCCAAACAGAACAGTGAGTAGGAGAAACCTCCCATCCCCCTCCACAGCACCCCCAGAAAAGTACTGGAACATCCAGAGGGAACATCTGAATGTGCTGATGGATCCGCCTCCACCCAAGTGCGGCCATCAGTGGGACAGTGGGGCCATTTGCTGGACTCTGTGAATCACCTACCAACCCTAGGCCCGGTGAGTGATTGTTTTCCTTGGTAATAGGGGTTCAAGCCCTGTATCCACACACGCCCAGGCACCATAGGAGGAGACGGGAGGCGTCAACCCCCTGAAACAAAGCGTATCTGAGGCTCTCAAATGGCACAGGCTGTGCCTGGGGAAATGTCACTGTTTGGCTGGGAGCGTGGAGCACTGGCAGGCAGGGAGAGGCAGAGAACGGAACCGAATTTAGGAGTGACTGGAAGGTCGACAAGAAAGAAAAGCCAACGCATAGCGTATATACATAGAAACAAGCGGCGCGTCTGAGGCTGGCTGCAGCTCCCGCAGAGCGAGCACCCACAGTGCCTCTGGGCTTGACGCTCTTGCAGTTCCAAACGGTCTGTTCTAGATGAGACCCACACCAGCCTTGTTCCCGTGCCTCTCGGCCTTTGTGTACACTGATTCCCAAGCTTATAATGTAGCTCTGCCACCTCCATGGACAGTATCGCTGTTATATAGCACACACACACACACACACACACACACACACACACACACACACACCCATCTCCAACTGCATTCAGATGCCTTCCTGTCAAACAACACCCATCTCCCATCATCTAACTGTTTATGGCTCTTCCCCACACCCTAGAATCTGGACACTCAAGCCAAGTGTGAGTTAGCCTTTGATCCCCAACTCTTCCTCATTGTTTGCTAGAGATTTGAGTCCCTCTTGCTCATCCCACCAAAAACGACATGTCCCCTGAGTTCAGGAATGTTGCCACTGACTCCTACGATACTGTCCTCTAGGTACAGCATGTAGTTACGGAAAGAAAACAACAGAAGGAACATGGTATGGAACTGATCTAAGCCTTAGGCTCTGACGGCCCACCAAGGGCTGGCATGAGTGAAGTCCCCAGGCCCTGGAACATATCCATCTGACCTGCTCCCTTCCTTTTTACTCTTTCCCATGTACATCTCACCCACAGCTGCTTTGAGAAGAGACCCTTCTTTTCCAATCTGCTCAAAGCGAAATCTCTTCATCTTACGTCTAATTGCACCTAGTGGCCAAGAGTCGCCGTTTTATATCAAAGGAAACCGAGAGGCTCATCCTCAAAAGAAATCACAGCATGTAGGGGGTCTGACCTGGAGAAATTAACTCACTTAACTGTGTGACAAAGTCTGGGCAGGAAGGTTAAGGCTGTTGGCTCTAAAAGGAAGTATCTGTGAACCCAGACTAGGTCAGGAGGAAGGACGGGCTTGTCTGGTAATTTATTATCTTGCAGGAAGAAAGAGATGAAGGGGGGGGGTGACAATCTCGGGATCACTCTTGTGTCACAGCGCATGCCAGATATGAAAGATAACTAACTCTCACAGTCACTGAGAGATGGTGCTTACACCTGCCTGCTGTCTTGAAGACACAAGAGCCAGGGGTTCCAGATGAATGCTCCTGGCAAAGAAAATGGAGGTGGTGTTCTCAGAAGAGATGCAGGCAACATTGAAAGGCTGTCTGGTCTCCTCTCTTCCAGACATCCACATATTCTTAGACTGCACTCACCTGATAACAAAGAAAAAGTCTAAACATACGGAAGGGTTCTCAATGGCGAGCAAGAGATGGGGTAGAGTCTATGGCCGAGAAGAGGGCAGAGGGAGGCAGGAATGTGCAGTGTGAGAGACCATTTGTGACTACTCTGAAGCTTCTAGACTATTGGTCTCAGCAGGCAGCACCCAGGAGAACTTCCTTAGTGGATAGGCCATAAATATTCCTTCCACTCATAAAAATACCAATCCCAGCTGTTTTCCCAAATCAGTGACTACAAGTATGAGGCTCTGAGAAAGAAAGTGACTTACCCTAGATCACGTGACTGGGTTGTAGCCAAGCCAGGGAAAGAGAGAAAATCGTAGATATCAGTGTGTAAACCATTATTCTTAGTGCTCAGTGTTCTTGGAATGCCCAGGAGTATAGCTCTGAAGGTGTCACAGAGTCATGAGAAAATACAGGGGCTTCTGACACTGGATTTGACTTTCGGCTCCTCAGTTGGCCAGCTCAGTGATTTCGAAAACTGCTGAACTTCTCCGACCCTCTATGTCCTCCTCTGCAAAATGGGTTCCCGCCTGGCATAACTCCCTCATGGAACTGTTATGAGAAACAAATGAGGCCATGGAAGGAACTTATTTGATATTTACATGTCCCACGTAGCACCCTCACCTGGGAGGCTGAGGCAGGGGAATCACTAATTCCGGGCCAGCCTGAATTATACAATGAGTTCTAGGCCAGCTGGGCAACATAATGGAAGTCTGTCTCAAGAACAAGGAGAAGAGGTGTCGGGGAGGGGGTGGTCAGAGGAACAAGATGGCGAAGAGGAAGACTTCCACCATTTTGTTTCTCAGAGACATTTCAAATACTTAAAACTATAGATCATCAAAGAGACCTCCCGAGATCACGCCATGGCTAAGACAGCCAAAAGCCACCAAGGGTAGTCCCAGCCTAACCCTCTGTCCCTAAGGACATGTTGCATGAGAAAATGGCAAAAGCCGATGGCCCACAGCCCAGCTCCAAACCTGCTCTGGGACACTCCCTTTTCTTCCTACTTTAACTTTGTGAGTAAGTCACAAACCCTGTGCCCTTGAATTTTAAAGGTCCCCTGCTGGTGGCCCTTTGATAGCTCTTTGTAAGGGAAATTGTCTTGAGGTCTCAGTAGCTTTATTGATTGTTTCTCTGGCCTTAAAAAGAGCCTGAGCTTAGATGAACAAAATCCTTTGGTTAAACACAGGTCAACTTCCCTTGACAAGCCCTAGATGAACAGTAGAGTCTGGATGAGTTTCCCACTGCTGCTGTAACAGAACATCACAAATAGAGTGGCTTAAAACAGTGTCTTTATCTTATACTTGTAGTGGCCACAAGTCTAAAATGGTTCTCATGGAGCTAAAATCACATCATGGGCAGAGCATGCTCCTCTGTGGATGCTCTGAGAAGCTGGACCGTCTCTTCCAGCTTAGAGACTGCCAGTGTTCCTTGGCTCACAGCTCACAGCTGACATCCACGATGGCTAGTCAACTCTTTCTTATACAATGTCACTGACTCTGGGTCCCTGGTCACCCCGTTTTACTTCCAAGGATTCCTGTGATTACATTGGGACCATGGGTATTCAGGGCACACCCTTTCATCTTAAGGACACCTGCTCAGCAGTTGGAATTCCATCTGCACCCTTAACCCTCACAAACATATATCAGAACATGTTTGCGGGTTCCAGGGCTAAGACACAGACATGTCTAGAGAATCATTATGCTACCAACCAATGTTCATGCCTCCCAATTCGTCCCCGGGTTGTGGACTGATTTCAGTAGCTCATCACTTGTTTCTGTCTCAGATCTAGGTTCAGCTTCCCATTGAACATGCTTCTGCAGACATAATGCGTCAACTGGCCACAGGGAAGACGCCAAATGTATTTGTTGGCCTGGTCACCACTGGTATGCTCTGGATTGGAGGTGGGGTTACCTATGAAATTTCTACCTCCGTAGGCCATCAAGGTTGGTGTAGTCCCAGTCAAAAAGAGACGTTCGTAAAGTGTCATTCTTCATCTGTTGTCTGGCATCAAAGCGACCTCACCAGCTGTGTAGATCCTCCCAGTCTTCTGTCTAGGGACAGACAGTGTTACCAGGAGGAATTGGGGTCTGTTGTTCCTAGGGATTTTTCATCTGTGCACTAAGTGTGGACAATTATTACACTTGTTTCAGAGTCACCATAACATTCTCTCTCTCTCTCTCTCTCCCTCCCTCCCTCCCTCCCTCGTTGTTTTGGTTTGGTTTATTTTTTTTATTTGGCAATTGAGTTGGGTTTTATTTTACAGAAAAAAAAAAACTTAACTATGTAGCCCAGGCTAGGCTAGCACTCACCACCATCCTGCTTCAGCCTCCTTTGTGTTGCGTTACCGGCTTGTGCCACACAGTGGGCATGCCATTGATCACTTTCTCACTTGGGCCCAGCACAGCCTGTATTCCTCATGGAGAGCATGCTCCATCCCCAGAAGCTTGCAACATCCTGTTACCAGGCCTGGGTTGTGCCTGACTCCTCCATTCTTCCCAGGAGGCTCCACAGTCCTAGCAGGTCCACGCTGCAGCTCTTCAGGCTTGCTCAGACATGTCTAAGGCAGGTGGAGGCTCAAGCTGGGACTCCCTGCACAGTTAAAGGGTGACAGAATGCCCCCAAGCAGAGGTACTGTGTTTATTGCCCATCCCAGCCAAGACCAGAGAGCAGAAACTACAAAGAAGGAAGCAGAGATTACTTGCCTTATACAGTACACCAGAAAGCTATAGATCTGTCAGTACTAGAATGAAATTTTTCCAGGGGTCATGAGTACCCTGAAATGTGAACCATGAAACCATTTACTGAGATGCCCTAATGTCAGACATTCAGTGCTGGGAATCAGTACATCCATCATCTTTCACTGTACAGTGGTTGATGGGAACGTGCCTCCTGAACTGTCCCCGAATAAGAGTCCCCAGCTTAGCCACCCGCTCTGGTGACGTGGATGAATAGCCACCCTAAATTCCTCTCTCGAGTCCACTTTCAAGGCTGGGGCCTTCCTGGTTAGCAGTCGGAAGACCATCTGCAATTTGCAGGCCTGTTTTCGTGTGACTAGGTCCAAACAAGATGCATGGGTATCATCATACATTCTGCAATTAAGTTCATCGGGGGAGATGATTGGGGGGGGGGCCGGCGCGGGGGGGGGGGGTGGACTGCAGCCCAAGACTGTATGAAGCAGTGAATTCACATTGTCAGCCCCACAAGGTGAAAGGCCCTTGAAGATGAAGTGAAAACATGTGACCTTGAGCTGGAGCTCCCTCAAATGCAGTCACCGAGCCTCCGTTTCCTGAACTGTAAAATGGCCCCAATGACAGGAACATCACAAAGTTGTTGTGACCAGTCAAGACAGCTACATGAGCGTGCATTGTGAGCTGCAATTACACGAGCGTGCATTGTGAGCTGCAATTACACGAGCGTGCATTGTGAGCTGCAATTACACGAGCGTGCATTGTGAGCTGCAATTGGTATTTCCCAGCTGCGCTCTCCCCGTGTGCCTTCCTCAGCTCCCTGCACCCAGTGCCTGGCACCCTACTGCTATATAGAATGCCAATGTGTGTTAAGTGGCTATTGAGTGAACCTGGTGTTTGGAGAGCAGAGGCGATCGATACTTAACTGTTTTAAGGGAAGTAAACCTTTCTCTAACTTAGAGAAGGTCTCTCAGAGCAGCAGATCAGTGCACAGGGCTGCTGGGGAAGCTTTGGTCCCTCGGGGAGTTCAATGCCAGAGGCTCTGTCCACAGTGAACTTGTCCATCGGATGTCAGAGGCCAAGAAGCAAAGCCATGCCGAGGGCTCCTGCTTGCCGGGAAGTCTACCTTACTGGACAGTTTAGGAACCTGTCTTACACACCGGTTGTTGAAGGCTGGCCCTCAGCAGCTGCCAGTCTCTATATGCCATGAACTTCATGGACTTTCACCCATGGGGCTGGACTGGGAAGGAAGGGGGCCAGGTGAGGGCTGCCAGCAGGAGCAAATCCCGCAGTTTACAAAATGGACTTGCCCTGCCTTGGGACGCGTCTATCAGGGTGTTACAAAATAAAGGCCCTATCCCAAAGTCATGTTCAGAGTTGATTGCCTCTGTGACAGCGCTCGGAGGTTGGACTTTAAAGGGGAACTGGGTCATGCGGGCAATGCCCTCCAGATTGCTGAGGCTCTCACCCTGTGTAGGTAGTTATCCAAGGGCTGAGCTGGTTAAGGGTCAAGCTCAGCTCCTTCAGTGGTCGTTCTCCCCTCCTCCTCCTCTTAGGGACTCTTTTACCATCTGACGTCTTCCATCAGGATGGGGATGCAGCATGGCGTCCTTGCCAGATGCCAGTACTTTAATATCGGACTTCCCAGGCACCAGGATCATGAGAAATAAATGTATTTTCCTTAAAAACTATCACTCTGTGAAATTCTGTCGAAGCTTCACAAAATAGTCTAAGAAACAGGGACACGGATATATTATGTCATAACCACACAAATGGTGATGTAACTGCAGACTGCTGTATGATGAAGGGCTCTGAAAGGGGGGGACCACAGTCAAGAAGTGGATTCTCAGAGGCGCTGCATCCAAACCTAGACCTGAAGATTGAGTCCAGGTGTGCCAGCTGCAAAGGGGAGTGAAGTCATCCCGATGCTCACGGGGCTGAACAGCAATCCAGATACTCCAAGGGCTGTCAGAAATCATGGGCAATGGGGCAGAAGCACAGGGTCAATACTGTCCCGAACTCATCCTTCATGCAAGAAGTAACAAAGATCAGTGAGGATGGATGGGCCAGGCATGCGGCTTTAAAAGATCATGTGAGCGGAAGGGACTCGGGAGTCAATGCATCCTAAGTTATAGTGGCCTGGGAAGCGGGGAAGTGAGAAGTGACTTGCACAAAAGTGAGGTGGTAGCATGAAGGTCTGAACACATATCGACTCCAGAGCAACGGAAAAACAATCTGGTGTGCTGGGGGGGAAATTATGGGAATCAATTTAAGGCTATCTTAAAGTCTTACGGCATCTGAAGAGATATAATTAAAGTAGAAAGATAGATCTTGAGCACAGATCGTTCACAAAGCCTCGGGCTGCTACTTAAAGAAAACGGAGGAGAAGGAAACACACCAATATGTCAGCAGCCATTTTTCTGGGATTATGGCTGCTTTCCCCTTCCGTCTTTGTATTTCTGTTAGTTCCAAGTGTTCTGGGGTCGCTTGTGTGTTTCTTCTGTACCTGGGAAAAGATAACAGTACTATTCACTTACAAAGAACAGTGCTACCACGTCACTTTCTGAGTGAAAATGGGGAAAAATTTTTAAAGTGTCCACTGGTTGGTCAGTCAGTTGGTCAGTTGGTTAGCTTTGAGACAGGGTCTCATGTAGCCCAGGCTGGCCTTAAACTTCTAATCCTCTTGCCCCTGCCTCTTAAGGGTGGTGATTACAGGCCTGTACCACTGTGCCTAGGATTTCATCTTCCCATGAACATCATTGTCCTTCCTGGGGGAAGGCAGGGAGATGCACTGGGCACAGAAAGAATAGAATCTTCTTCACAAGCAAGTCCTATTCCTAAGACAGAAACCCAGTGTGGGCAACAGATACCTTTGGTGTATCCAGCCTGTCCCAATATGGCTTCCTGGACCTTTTCTCGCAGAGAAATGTCTCTACTGTGAACCACCTGCCTTGTCCCTAGTCCTTAAGCTGCTGCCCAATTGGACCAGAGGTAGATGACTGAGTTAGAAAGTGGTAATGGGGCGCTGGAGAGATGGCTCAGAGGTTAAGAGCGCCGACTGTTCTTCCAGAGGTCCTGAGTTCAATTCCCAGCAACCACATGGTGGCTCACAACCATCTGTAATGAGATCTGGTGTCCTCTTCTGTATACATAATGAATAAATAAATCTTTTTAAAAAAAAAAAGTGGTGATGGTTCGTCTACATCAGCAAGTGTGCTCCTCAGCCCTGGGCGCAGGTATGCGGAGCAAGCCAATGCTGTAGAAAAGAAGGCCATGAGAAGAGACTGGAGCGTCACAGAGGCATGCAAGAGGACTCCTGGGTCCACAGCAGGATGAAGCTGCCGCATCAGCCCTGGGGAAGTCCACTGCCATGCCCTAAATGGCCTCTCCTTATGGCACCGGTACGCTAGACTCTTGTGGCCTCTCAACTAGTCCTGCTTGTCTGAATTGCTAGAGTTTCTCTTTCCATATCCAAAGGGTTTCTACTAAGAATTAGCCTGACACAGAGTCTCCACCCAACAAAAGTCAACGTTCTGTGGAAAGTTTTTTAAATGTTGAGTTTTTGGTCTTTTCCCAATGAGTGACAGAGGTACCATACTTACTTAAAATGTTACCAGCAACAATTAACCACTGCTCCCAGGTAGGCATGCAGTCATAAGGAGAAATTGTCAATACCAGTGTTGCTAGGCTGTTGGGTAGGCTGGGCACATCCAATGCTTTCCCAACTTAAGTAGATTATCAACTGAACATGGGTGTGGTGGTTTGAAAGAAAATGGCCCCCAAAGGGAGTGGCCCCATTAGGAGGTGTGGCTTTGTTGGAGTGGGTATAGCGTTATTGGAGGAAGTGTGTCACTGTGGGGGCGGGCTTTGAGGTCTCATATGTGCTCAAGCCACTCCCAGTGTCTCAGTTCACATCCTGTTGCCTGCAAGATGCCGAACTCTCAGCTCTTCAGGCACCTTGTCGGTTAGTATTGTCGCCATGTCCCACCATGATGATAATGGACTAGACATCTAAAACTATAAGCCACCCATTAAGTGTTTTCCCTTATAAGAGTTTTCATGGTCATGGTGTCTCTTCACAACAACAGGAATCCTGACATTATATCCCAATGGGCTTTAGGATATAACTCCACCGGAAGCCACGGAACATTTGTGTTCTGCTAACAGTCCAACTCGATGTTATCTGTTAGCAGATTATCTTCCCTGACAAACGCCAACACTCCCTACCATCTGGACTAGCTCTGGAAGGCCAGACCCTCTTTCTCCTTAGTGGGGCACCCTTCCTGGAAAGACTCCACCACCCTGCCCTCCCAACCGTGTCTCTGCTCCAAGTTAGACACAGGAACTGGCCCTGCAAATGAAATAACCTGGGATCCGCCTGCAGCACCCTCAACATGACCAGCAGAGTCACACAGCGTCCTGTGACCTCATGCACTCTCCAAAAGGCAAAGGTGTGCCCATTGGAGAGAAGCCCCCAGAGGAGGCCCAAGGAGGACCGACCCATCAGCTGCTGCCTTGAGCCGGAGGAGAGGGAGAATTTGACAGCTCCGAGGTAAAGCCTCTTTTTATTAAGACAACACAGCAAACTTTTTTAACCACAGCTGACATCACTCTAATAAATCACCATGATGTCTTGTGGGATAGAAAAAGCCAAAACACTGTCACATTTGATTTTGCTGGCTACTCGCGTCTCGAGAACAAACCATGTGTTTTTAATCAACAACACTTTGTTTTGCATTTCTCATACCCCAATACTCTTTAAATAGTTGCTTTTACCAGAGGGCTATTTTAAACCCAGGACCAGCTCCTTTGCAGAGGACATTGAGAAAGAACAGCATGTTACCAGCTCCCCAGGCCGATCGATGCCCACACTTTCCTTACTGCGACCATTATGCCCTATGAGGTCGCATCTGTGTGTTTCTGAGGGGGCTTTCCTATCCCCTCTTTGGGGAATTTAATTAGATGTCTTCCCAGAAAGTTGTGTGTTTTTTGGGTTCTCTGACAGGCAACACGACTGGGTTATGGGAAAACAGCAAATTCTCAACCAAATGAAACAGAAAGAGTAGCACATGGGACCAGGATTCCAAAGGAGGGGGTAGGAGGGGAGGGACCATCGGCGGGAGAAGGAGCAATAAAAAAAAAGATGTGGGCAATAGCACATGTCAATTTCTGCCTGCGTCCAGGCCCTAGACTTCCTAGACTCTAAAGCTTGGAGGCAGATGTGCTCTGCTCAGGCCAGCTGACCGGGGCTTTCCGGTACTCTCTTTGTTTTGCTGGAGTGGGTGGCACCTCAAGGTAAGAAGCTGATAAGGAAAGGGGCCACTTGCCTAGCTCCCCGACCTGGCAGGACCTTTGCCGATGATTGGCAGTTGGGTTCATCTTGTGCAGACATCTGTCTCTTAATAACCCTTGCTTCACAAAGACAATAAAAGGGGACAGAGGCAGATCTCAACCTGAAATAGAGAAACTGTTTGCTGAGCAATTAAGTTAGCCCTGCCAGATAGTTCAATCAAAACCGAAATCATGAGTCAAGACAACTAGACCTAGAAACCCTGTATTTGGAGGACTGAGGCAAGAGATCATGACTTCAAGGCCAGCCTGAGCTACATAGGAAAACCCTGACTCAGAAGAAGAGAAAAAGGGAGGGTGAGAAAAAAGAAAAAAAAATCAAACATAGGCATGCCTGTGGTGGTGTTCCAGCACCAACTACCATCTTTCAGTCAAATGGCAAACTTTTGACGGATCATTTCCTGGACCAGCGAAATTCTGGGATATAGGTCACTTCAAGGATTCTTTCATGGCTACCTGTTTTGCTTGTCTGCTAACCAGATCGTGGTACATGGGTGCACACACCCAGCCTCACCGCATGCCAGGCCCATGCTTTCCATGGTCTCGTCCCACAGGTCCAACGGCAGAGGCGTCTCCATTGCACAAAGTCCGATCCTTATCGAAGACATATACTCTGGTTTATCCCTTTTCTGTTTATTATGCCATAAACTCACACAATATTGCGTAAGCATGATTTTCCTGGACAAAAACACACTCTAACAATGTCCACTGTAATGCCCCCAAACATCTCTCTCCAAGCATCTCTCTCTGAAACTGTGTCAGGACAGGGACATTAATTTGTACATGTTCCCGTCATCTGTGATGAGGGGACTCTTCCAGGCTGAGGACTGTCCGAAGCTCTGTGTTCTGGTCATCTGGTCAGTTCAGCATCTCTCTAACTAGTTCACCCTCAGGCTTTGCCTTTCATTAGAAGCCTAGCTTCTATTTATTTCAATGGCACCCCAGCTATAGGGGTTCCATTTGGGCACCTAACCATATTGGGGCTGTTTACAAGTCCAACCTAGGAACCGCTTTTCCACTTGAATGGTACAAATATTCACATGAACTTGCACCTAGGTCTTCAGTGTTCTTCATGAGAAAATCTAAAAAGACAGTGAGCTGTTAGAAAACATCTCCTAGTAGCAATGTAGATAAGTAGTCAGGACTAGATTCAGAAAGGGGGAGGGAAAGAGAGAGAGAGAGAGAGAGAGAGAGAGAGAGAGAGAGAGAGAGAATGAGAATCCAGGATTGGTGCCCCATAAGCGCAACCTTAAGCCTTAACTGATGCTCAAGTGTGTCTACGTGTGACCACTGCTACTTGCCTCAAGGTATAAGGACCGGGAAAGAATGAAGCCTAATGCTCAAAACTGAGCTCCACATTTTGTGACAATAGTATGTCTGTTAAAAATTAAGGACCGGAGGGGTGGCTCAGTGGTTAAGAGCCCTCACTGGGCATGAGCAGACACACTGTTGTGTAGGAGCCTTCACATTGAAGGCTCTAATATTTGTGGAATACTAGCATTTCACATCGAAGCACTAGTATTTCAGAATCCTGGCAAACTCTAGGAAGACAGTACTGATGCTAAGGTTTAATTTCAGAATGACAAGACCAGGACGATCCGAGTATAGGCTCTCTGGGTTTGATCTACCCCCAGTAATTACAATTCACGCAAGATAGACACCATCAGCATAAACGAATAACCATTCCCTGAGCATCTACTGAGTGTCACTGGTGGAGAGCTTTCAAAGGCTTTCTTTATCATCATGACAACACTAGAAAGGTAAACATTGCTCAGTGTTGGAGACAGCAGGGCTTCCATCCCAGAGCAGTCATTTAAGCCCAAAGCCTTGAGTTCCAGGTACCACCCACCATAGTGATTGCTACATCCCCGTACCAGATGACGACTGACAAGGAAGAATGTGCAGCCACGAAGCTGCACGCAGGACACCCAGACTAGTGGAATGCAATACTCCCTTTATACACCAGCTGAAGTGGGAAGGGAGCCGGGAGTGGCCAGGACAGCAATTAAGGGGTGCTGCCACTGTAGAGTTGAGGACTCTCAGGGTCAGGTACAAAATTCCACAGTCCAAGAGACTCACTACTCAGGGAAGCCTCTGGGGGCTCCTGCTTAGTCACAGCCTGAAAAGGCAGGCCAGCCTGGTGAAGGGTTTTAGACC